GCTGGAGTAGTGAAGACCATGGAGGAGAATAGGAAAAGATGAGTTTGCAGGGGTAATGGACAGTGTGTGCATGTGTGTGAGACATCACATGGAACCATCAGGACATTTTAAGATTTTTACTTTTAATCAGAGTGAATTGGAGAGCCATTCAGTTAAAAGAGCCAGAAACCTAACTCAAACTTGCTTAAAAGGGAATTTATTGGCTGACGTAACTGAGTCAGGAAAAATAACTGCCCAAATCTCCAGGTTTCCATGTCCACTATGATTTGTGATTTTTTTTTCCTCTCCCAGTGATCAAATAAAAAGTCTTAGGGAAGTCATCAATTGGTCCAGTTTGGGTCGCTTGGCCTGTAAACCAATCACTGAGCACAGGCAGATAAAATACTGTGATTGGCCAGCCTAGATCCCATGTCTCCCACCTGTAGAGAGTAGGGTTGGAAGGTGAGCTCCAGAAAATACATAAAAGGAGTTTTCTACTAGGCTTAAAAGCTTCATCACCTGAAGTAGCAGGAATGGATACACAGCAGACAGACATAATAAATGTCACCTACAAAAGTAATCTAAACCAGTACGAAGGGAAAGGGAGATTTGCTGGCATAAAAACATAGAAGTCTATATGTTAGACAGTATCGCAATCAAAATTCTAACAAAAAGCAGAAGTAGAAAATTATATGCAGGAAATATGATGAAAAGATAATACTCTCAATAAACAGTTATATATACAAATATCAATTAAAAAAATCGAAATCCCAAATGACAGATGATCAAAGGACACAGATTAATTTCCCAATCTGGAAACACAGAAAACTAACAAATCTGCTCAGCCTCTTTGGGAAATGAAGAAATGCTAGTAAACTCATACTAGCGACAAATCATTTTTCAGACTGATACCTTTTCGGTGTGTATTTGTAGGAGGCTTCAGGGCAGTGAGGATTCTACAAAACGGAAATTCTTTCCTAACTGCTAGAAACCCTGGAAGTCTTCTGCAAACATACCCTGATGAAGATAAAAATTTGTAACCAAAGGTGTGCATTGCAGTTTTATTTAAAGTAGGGAAAACCGTAAACTAACCTAAGTGTCATAAAATAAGGAAGTGATAACATAAAGTTGAGCCATATGATAAAATATTTTAAAATAACTTAGGAAAATTCTTGATTGACAAGAAGAGGCTTGTGGTACCACCAAGTGAAAAAGCCACATACTGGATGATTCCATTATGGAAACACTATGAAATCAAAACAAATTGAGAATATTGCCCATGATTATTCCTAGGTTTTTGACAATCTGTATGCATTATTTGGGTAGAAAGATAGATAGATAAATAGGCATACCTGGTTAGCTTGGGACGCTTTTTGAGATCTTTTCTCATTTCTTCCATGAATTTGTTCATGTGGGTTTTCTCCTTCATGTTGTATCAATATTGGTAATTTTTATTTCAAAGAAAATCTCCATTTTCTTTCACTGTTATTAGTTCTATAGTTATGCATAAAATTTAATTTCATTGTACTTAAAATTTCCTCATGCTATCCTTTTAAAATTATTCAGAATAGTTGCTGAAGATTTATTTAGTGGATTTTCAAAGAATCAATAGATGTAACATTTTACTATTTAAAACTTTCTTAGTTCATTTTATATATATATATATCTGCATCTCATTATATATATATAATATATATAGTAGTCTTTATATATATTATATATATGTATCTTTATTTTCTTTGGATCTTTTCTTGTTCTAAAATCTAAATTTGAATGTTTTTAAAAGTGTTTTGTCTCTCTCTCTCTCACCATTTCAAACAATTAAGTCATTTAAGACTAAATTTCCCTCTAAGTATAGTTTTGGCTGTATCCCACATTTTTTTATAGTGTTCTTTTTATTTTTGTGATTTTCTAAATAGTCTGTCATTTTATTCCTGATACCCTACTTGACAAAGTATTTAGGAAATTACTTTTTAAATATCATAGGAACTACTGTTTTAATATTTAAATTTATTTGTTATTTGTTAGTTTTATTGCACAATGATTAGAGCTGGGTGTCTTTTGTAGCATTAGAGAGGGTGGTCGTGATTAGCCTTGCTAATAAATTTAATAAATTTTATCTAAGGGAGGGGGTATAACAATTTAAGTGGCAAGAAATAGCCTCAGTGGAGAGTTTAAAACCTTAAATATGACCAAATCATTATCCTCAATTAGTATTTTAAACTGGAAAACCTGATACCTATAACTGATAGGTTAAATTCTTTTCCCATATTCCCCTCTAACCAGTTGGATAGAGGTTTGGAAACAGGGCAAGCTCAGTTAGTGGGGGGGAAAAGCTACATTATTTTGCACATCTGAGATGAATCATATGAATTTTTATTTATTTATTTATTTATTGTTTCTTTTTTTAAAGATTTTATTTATTTCTTTATTTATTTGAGAGAGAGAGAAAGAGAGAAATAGCATGAGAGGGCATAGGGTCAGAGGGAGAGGCAGGCTCCCCGCTGAGCTGGGAGCCCAATGTGGGACTCGATCCCAGGACTCCAGGATCATGACCTGAGCCGAAGTCAGTTGCTTAACCAACTGAGCCACCCAGGCGCCTGAATCATATCGATTTTTAACCCTGCCTTGTAAACAAATAAACAATTTCAAAGTATTGTAAGTTTTCTGAAGTGGTGTTAGGTAGTTAGGTAGTGTTAGGTAGACAAACACAAGACGTCTCCAGAAGTGACATTGCAGCTGAGATCTCAAGGATAACAAGGTAGCAGCCAAGTGAGAATGGGAAGAGTTTTCAGGTTCAAAGGCCTTGAGCCTGGAGAGAATTTGGCCTATTCTAGGAATGGGCAGAAGGCCAGTGTGCTGGCAGCATTGTGAGCCAAGTTGATAGTCCCACAAGATGGGGTTAGAGAGGCAGATCTAATAGATTCATGAGCTTGTTATTTACATGCGTAGTATAGGCTAAGTTATACTAGGCTAACAAATGACCCCTGTATCTCAAAGTACAGGTTTACTTCTCATTCATGTCACCTTCTCAGTGGGGCTTGCCTGAAATTCATCTCCACATCTTCATACTGGGCTCTTCATTGACAGAGCAGCCCACCTGGGATGTTGCTGGTCATTGTGGTAGAGGGGAAAAAAGAGCACAAGTCTTCAAGCTTCTGCCTGAAGTGACATATGCCATTTCTGCCCACATATCATTGGCCAAAGCAAATTATATCATCAAGTCCAATGTCAGGGGAAGTATACTCCTCCCTCCATGGAAGGAAAGTGTATGTTAGTATAATTACCTCCTTGTAAATCTATATCCTTCCATGCATGTTAACCAAAAGATATAGTTGTACCTCCTTTCTTCTTTATTCATAGATCCACTTTAGCTATTATCAGAAAAACGATTCCATAAAGAGATTAACACTGGGTCAGTACTTTGTGTGTACATGTTTTAATAACTCAAATCTCCTACTTCTCTAAATTTTATAAAACAGTTCTTTCTTATTCTCATGGACCCTTAATTTAAGGGCAAAATTTAAATCAACTTCAATAGAAAGGATTTCATACTTACTACCCAGTTGTAGGCATCACTTATTCTTTCGGTAGAGTCTTGAGCTCAAGAAAAGGCTGTTTGCCTACAGTATTAAATAGCAGAATCTAAGGTTAATAATTTACCAAGTGGCAAAGTATAATATCTTGGCACTTTATATTTAAATTTATAAGAGAGTTCAGGAATGTATCGGTATTTCCATCTGCCAAACCAAGAGATGGAGGTACTTTGTTTCTCAAAGCCCCACAGCTGGGCCAGAGTCCTGGCCAGAACAACGTAAATGGGTATTGTACCTTTTTGTCCTGAGAACCACTAGTAAAGTTAAGCAACGTTTAATGACACCTTAAATGAAGTAAGGCACAGGGGCAGGAGTGGTGGGGGAGAAACATAAGAGTGACAGGCCAAGAGATGGAAAATTGGATGTAGATTAAAAAAAAAAATGCATCTGGCAATGCTAGAATCATGTCAAATTATCCTTGCTGTCACTCTGAGGCATTTGTGTTGAGGTTGCCCATTGCAGCCTGACTATAATTCTTTTCTAATCGAACTTCATTTATTATTGAAAAAATGCTCGTCTGGTAAAGCAGTTTTAAAAACTGTATTCTCCTTTAACTATTAAGTCTCTGTCTTTGTTGGGTAAAGGTATTGGCTTTCATTATTACCTTCTAGAACAGTAAACCTGAGAGCATCTCTTCTGGAGGAGATGGAGAGAATTAAATCTGATGGAATACATATTTCCATTTTCAAAAGAACATTGAGTTTTTCCCATAGCGATTTTTGTTGATCCATAGCCAAACTCTTTAACAACTGTGTAATTCCATCATAATTCCATCAACAATAGACTGAGGAGGATCATGGTTATAGTGATCCCATAGCTGGCACAGTGGCTGGCTCATAAAAGATTCTCAAAAAGAATTCCAGTAATGGATGGTGGGTTCTGAAGGATGAACCAATGTTCACGGAATCATGATCTTCATCTCAACCACTTCTATCGTGCACTTCAGAGGCTGTTGCTAGGGTAATTAGCTATCTAGTGGCATTCCGAGAAAAAATTGCATTGGGACGTGTGTCTGTACAAACTACTCTATAGTTTAATTTTTTTAAAGATTTTATTTATGTATTTAGAGAGAGAGAGAGAGCACATGAGCGGGGGGGAGGGACAGAGGGGGAGAGAGAGAATCTCAAGCAGACTCCATGCTGAACACAGAGACCCATGTGGGGCTCGATCTCATGACCCCTGAGATCATGACCTGAGTTGAAACCAAGAGTCACTCACTGACTGAGCCACCCAGGCACCCCTAATTTTGAAAAACATGGCCAAAACATTGACCAGTCTCAGTAAGGGAAGACTATTCGTAAATTAAAGCCACCTTATAGGGGCAATTTTAAATACAGGATTTGCAACCAAATACATCTCATTAAAAGAACATTTTGAGTTATTAATTGCTTATGCTAAGAAACAAATTTCACAAGACACAGATAATTCCACCTTATCCTCTCAAACCAATTTTATTCGTATTCTGCTCTAACAAATATAGTATGAAGGCAACAGTTGTTTAAGTTTCTTAGCATATGGCACAGATGAAAAGAAACAAACAGATTTCGAAGCAGTCCAGCATTTAAATGCTGGTTTAACAAAAGAGGCACGTATTATTCTATTTAGCAGGTTATACCAGATATCAGAAGACATTTTTTTTCCTTGCAAGCAACAGACTACATTTATTTGCATTAAGTAAAAACATATCTTGATCAAGAAAATTACTTTTTTTTTCTGATTTTCCTTTATATCACAAATGTCAGGGTAAGGCAAATCCTTAATGAATCATATGATAAAAACCCTATTCCCCAAGAAAATATATTGAACATATTCTGCTAACTTTGTTATTTTTCAAAGCAAGGCTGACATGCACCACATACAGAGAAAAGTCATTTCGAATCAAGTGCATCAAGCAGAACGGTATTAATTCACAAAGAGGCTTTTCAGTATTTCATAGAAAGATTTACAATTAGCTGTGGTGACTAATATGTGACCCACTATCACAGACAGTATTTTGGATGCCTCCTTTGTAAGCTTTTATGAAAGAAGACTTGTCCATCATCTGAATAGTTACTAGCTAGAGGAAAAGCCCCTTTGTCTCTCTTACAACGACTACCTTTCTAATTAGGACTACAGGTTTCTCCTGCTATGGGAAAGTAGTGTTCCTATGAAACCTATCCTTAAGCCGAAATGGTGTAATGCAAAGAAACAATTACCGTTAATTTATATGGAAATATTTTTGAGCCTTCCCAGACCCTTTTCTGATACCACAGGGCACATCTTGCTAATGGATGCACAAAATAAAATAAGATAAAGTACAGATGCTCACAGACACAGGTCAAAGCTATGGTGGCTTGATGCTGAGACTCTTGAGTGTAGTTCCCAGGGAAGGAGCTGGGAGGGGCCATTCTCCTAGGCTTGCAGTTTTCCTAAAAGTGAAAGCCCTCTTCGGATTTCTTTAGGTTAACAGTAGCAGGTACTAATGTAGGTCTTTCATAAAAGCAAAGTGGCATAATGCAATTTCAAAAGGCAGGGATACCTGTATTATGTTGAGAGCCTACTTTGATCCTCTGTATGCAAACATGACTAATATGGGGCTATTTTTCTCCCCCTCTCCCTCCTGTAAGCCATCTTGCCACATAGCCTGGCAGAAGTGAGGTTGGAAATTGACATCCAGGATTCATGTGCAGCAGAATCAATCTGCCTTTCAAATTTTCCATTGTATAGCCTGTTCAATGACAGCACCAGCGAAAAAAAGGGGTTACCTGTGTTGAGGTGTCTTCGATCTGGCCAACAGCTAGATTTTTAATATCTTACTATTGAAATGGAAAGTAACTTCATTGTTCGTTTTAAGGATAAAATCTTATAACCAAACAGCAACCAAAAGGCATAATGAGGCAAAAATGAAAACACAATCTAATCATAAAAAAAAGTTTAGACAAATTCAGGAGTGGGGCTATGATATTTACTCCTCATTCTCTTAGTTTTGTTCTCAAAGATTTCTTTCCTTTTCCTGCAGTTTTCAGGCAGAGAACTCCCTCCCCCATTACTACCCCACCCACATTTAAAATGAAGAAATAAAAATGGCTGTCGTGGATGATAAAGAGAACACCCCGACTGAAATAATTCCAATCTCCACGGGTCCTAACAGGGACATTAGGTCTCTTTCATCTTTGTGCATTAAGAAGGCCCCATCCCTCGTCTCCATCATGTTGTTTTCAACTGTAACTCATTACTGAGCATGAGTAGCACTAACATTTAGGAGTCACAGGAAAATGGGCTCCTAGCAGATCACTCTTGTCCAGTCCTTCACAGAATGATGGCGACTTTCAATTAAGTTATAAAGATGGCATGAAATATAGAAACTATCAGTATTTGTATGACATCATTTCACGGATCACTTAAAATGGGACTTTTCCTTGTTTTTCTAGAAAGCGATGTGTAATGGCAGTAGGGGACATATCCATTTCCATATCAAGCTGTAAAGTAACAGCAGAAAGAGAAATGGCAATGTTCCAAAATCATGAGGTCCCTTAAAAATCATTGCTGTTAGGTTGGCAAGCAGTTTTTTTTTTTTTTAATACAGGATGTTAGAACATATTACATATGCAGAAATAAAACTTGCTAATGATTTCAATATGCCAAATAAGCCATCCAGAGGGGCAACAAATTCAGAAAGGCCAAAACAAAATTCATAGAAAGAGAAGAAGGTGAATTTTCCATAGAGGAAAGAGCAAAACTGAAGAACTCCATGGAATATTTAGAAAATAGAACACCCTTTGATTTTAGAAATACCCAATTTGATCCGTTACTTTTCTCCCTCCACTAAAAAATATATTTATATATTTATATATATATAAATAACTTACAATTCTAAAGACCTTATAAGGAAGGTGGATTTGATATGCAAGAAGCGGTATCAGTTTCCTCAGAAAAAAATAGACTGTTCTTAGAACCTCGGGAAGCTGTGGGAAGCCAGCATTTTGCCTCGTGAGGGTGGCTGTTGATGTTGTCTCTGGGACAGACATTTGTGACGACTTCTGACTTCCTCCTTGGCTCCTCATCCCTTGTGCCCTCTGTACCACTGGAACCTTGGCTTAGTAATGCTGCTTCTCCCCTTCAAGGCCATAATCAAGGGATTTCTGGGAGAGGGGATGAGCTATCAAAGTAGTTTTGGATTTGGCATGAACAAAGCAGACTATTAACTGTAAGCTAACTTCAAATGAGAATCTTTCTGTGGGCCCTCAAACCTTGGGTAAAGACAAAAGGTTCTTTTATGAAAAGTGTATATAAAACAAGAGATTTCAAGTAGAACTTTTAATATTCATAGGCATATGTTTGGATTCTAAATGTAGCAGCCCCCTCTCTTAACTAAAACACCTCGAAGAGTGTCATCCCTTCCAACTGTGTCATTAAGAGTCACATTTCACTTGGTGGGCTCTATGCCGAAGCACACAATAAAGATCTCATGAACCAGGTGAGCTGTGCGGAAGGTCAGGGCCGAAGAATGCACCTGCAGCCTGGCTGAGAAGGGAAATCCCCCAAAGGCTGCTAGCACGCGCCTTCATGGTAACACCTCTACATTCTGCTCTGGATGAAATCCTCCTTCCACATTCCTCATTTAACGACCTGGAACAGAACTGTACCCTGGGAATCTCTGAATAAAATACCATTTTCAATTCATTGTCCTGACCTTTTTCCAAGTGATTTCTGAGCATTTTGCCCATTTTCCTCTCCTGCCTCCTTTGTCTGTGGATTATACTGATCTTGAGCTTGAGGATTCCTGAAATTTAGCCTGCAATGTATCAAACGATCATCTTGTCTCTTTCTTTGAAGAAACCACTGTATCGACCAGCTTTGTGAAATAATTGAGAAAGCAGACAGGGGCCAGGATAAACATGTGAATGTTACACCGTGTCACTGTGACCCTGGGAAAAGTCGTGAGAGAAAAAAAAAGAAATTACAGGGATAGCGCCTGAAAGATGCATTAATGTGGGGCCCCTCACCAAGTTCAAGGAAACTTTTTTCTTTTTTTTTTCTTTCTTTCTTTTTCTGCAGGTAAACAGAACACAATGCAGCTGGAGAAATTAGAGCAAAGGATTCCCTGTCCTTCCATGGGACTTGCCCCCCCCCCACACCCACCCTGCTCTACAGCTTTCACTACTGTCTTCCTACACCCACCCCCCCAGGGCCAGGAGAGGCCTGCAATGCCGAGGACCGTGATTGACTTCCATTTCTTTGTTCCTTTGCTTCATCTTGTGCCCCTGCCAAAGACAAGGAGAAACCATTTGTTAGATGAAAGATCATAGATTTCATAGATTTAGCAAGGAATATCTTTTTAACACAGTCATTTAAATGTTTTGTACCCTGCAAACAAGCCTAGGAATATCTTCTTTGACTATCAAAGAGCTTTAGATATTGGAGCTGTAATTGCCAGCACAGGGTATCTTTAAAGAGCATATAAATCACTGCTAATAAATGTATGCCACATTTTGACGATTTGCTTCCGCTGATGGTGGCGATTAACTCAGCTCTTCAAAGTATTCTTTGAAAAACCTAATCTTGAATTGATGAGTCCTCCCTTCTAGGGTCCATTCATACACTATAGTTTCCAGGGCTTAGCACAGGAATAATGATAACAATTTACATAATGCTGATTTGCAAAAGTCATTGGTGGCTATCCCACCACTCTGAGGTCTTATTAAGTCTCTGCTGTGTTCCCCACTTGTGAGAGAACTCTGAGAAGATACTGTGCCTTAAGATAGTCTTTATTTTTTTAGCTTTTAGAAGATGAGGTATAATCCACATAGAAGGAAATGCACAGATCTTAAGCATACTTCGGTCTGTATGAACAAAGGCATTCATATAACCCACACCGATATCAAGATATAAAACATTGCCATTACCTCAAAAGTTTGCTTTTGCTGGAACCAGCACTTGATCTGATTTCTATCATCATAAATTACTATGTGTCTATACAGAAGAACTGGAGCAGATGATCTCTGAGTTAATTTTCTATCTGGTGTTCCTATGAATCTTTAAAAAAGTACTCTCTTTGAGGTGTGTGTGTGTGTGTGTGTGTGTGTGTATAAAAGCAGTATCATGCTTGCTGCAGACAGCATTTAAAATAAACAAAAGTAGGTGAGAAGAAAAAAATCCTACATAATCCCTCCATTGATGATAATTTCTGCAGTTAAGATTATGGAGTATTTCCTTATAGTATTTTTCTAAATCTCTTATAGATACACAACTATAAATTTTAATCTTAAAAATGAAAATTGTTAACATAAAGAAACTTACAAAACAGTATAATATACCTAGAATATATTCCCTTTCCAGATTTAATTATTTAAAGTATTTAAAGATAAATTAATTTAATTTACAGATAAGTTAAAACTATTTCTCTTCCTTCCCAGAGATTAACAAACCCTGATATCAGTGTGAATCAACTTGCATGTTTTTTTATTTTTACACAAATACATATTTACAAATACACACATAATAGAAAGTATGTAGTATTACTTCGTGTATTATAAAAAGTAGTAAGTAGTAATTTTGTTTTACCCTGTTTTTAGCCACCCACTAATTATTATTATAAATTCATAATCAATATATATTTTGAGCTGCCTTTGTGTTTACCATTTTCCTTGGCTTACAACTGTTTCTTGCACCTTACGCTTTCCTCTGGGTTCAATTTCCTTTTTATTGTTGTGCATCCTTTAGTAGCTTTTAAAGAAAGGGTATGTGAAGAGCAAACTTTTCTTTTTTTTCCTGAAAAATGGCAGTTATTATCTTCTTTTCTTTTTTTTAAAAATGTTTTATTTATTTATTCATGAGAGTCAGAGAGAGAGAGAGAGAGAGAGAGGCAGAGGCAGAGGGAGAAGTAGGCTCCCCGCCTAGCAGGGAGCCCGATGCGGGACTCGATCCCAGGACCCTGGGATCATGACCTGAGCCAAAGACAGACGCTTAACCATCTGAGCCACCCAGGCGCCCGCAGTTATTATCTTCTTAAATGATAGTGAAACTAGTATAGAACTCTATACTGACAATTGTTTTTACTCATGTTTTGAAGACTCAGAATTATTCTACTATCTTCTGAACTAAATTCCCGATGTTGGGAAGCCTGCTGTCCATGCCATACTTATTTCTTTTTAGGTTAACTCTCCTTTCCCTCTAATTGTTTTACTTTTTTTCTCATTGTCTCTAGTATTCTGCAATGCCTGTGTTGGGTTTATTTTAAACATGTCCTTGTGACTTATTATTCTTCTTTTAACTAAAAACTCATGACTTCTATCAATTTCTGATAAATCCTCAGCCACTATTTTTCAAATACTATCTACTGTCTCCTTTCAGAACATGTACTGAAGACAAACACGTTGGTCATTCTCCTTCCAGCCCTCATGTCTCCTCATGTGTCATTCATATCACTATATGTTTATTGGCTTTTTCCAAATTGTTCTTAATTTTTCATAGTGTTGTCCTTTTCTTACAGTTTTATATCTGCTTTTTATCTTTTTTGTCATTTAAATGTACATATTCTGTAAAATCATCAGAATTTTCTACTCTCTCAAGTTTTCATAGTGCTAATCATCCTGTCATTTCACCTACCAATTCTCACTCATGGTGGATCACTTCCTTGTGTGTTTTGTAAGTCTTAAAATTGTGAATTCATCTTCAGAGAATTTTTTTTCTTCTATGGGAATTCCAACTGATAGGTTCACATTTCCATTTGTTATCTATAGCAGGAGTAATACTGGTCTATAATCAACTATTAATTATATGGTCTGTGTATTGCTGTCTAACTTTGGGTGGCATAAGTTTGCAAATCGACTTCATGGTGCATTTGTGTTTTCTACTTGTCATAGGAGACTTTTTCCTTCCCCACACAGCACTCTGGGCAGACAAAAGTCTCCTTGTTAACTTCTTGAGCTAGAAATCTCAGATTTATCTATGTAAAGGTATTAGTTCTAACATCTCCCCTTGATTGGCTCTAGGTCCCAGGTGGGCATTAGAATGCAAGGATCTAGCCATAGGGCCTGTCTCAGCATCAACGACCAATCTGTAGCCCTCAGGGCAACTCCATCTTCAGCTCACCGCACTATTGCTTTGGCCTTCAAATTCCTCTTTATTTCTGGCACCTTTGCTTTCATGTCAGTTGAACTGTGTATTTAAACATTTTTTTTTGTTATAATTTATCTCTCATTTCTAAACATTTGTATTGGGAGATGTTCTGCATTATCCCACCTTTTCAGTTACCTGTTGCTACATCACAAACCACCCCAAAACTTAGTGGCTAAAAGCAAAATGGTTTATTATTTTTCATGATTTTATAGGCTTGGGCTCAGCTGGGTAGTTTATCTGCTCAAGGTATCCACTGGGGCCAGAACATCCAAAATGGCCACTCAGTTTCCAGAATCTCTCTCCCTAAGGCCTTTCTCATTCTGTAGTAGAGCTTGAGCTTCTTACAGGATTGTTGGATTCCAAAGGCAAGCATTCTGAGAGTGTAAAAATGGAAGTTACAAATCCCCTTAAAGTGTACCTTGGTAACCGCCACACTTGGACTGCCATGTTTCTCTAGAACCAAAGGTGCAGATTCTATAACTACTTTTACATGACCTCAGATACCTGTCGAAAGATTATTTTTACATTTGCAGAGTGTTCTATTGATTCATTGTCATTCCCCTATTGTCATTTATGATAGTCCTGATTTTTTACAATTATAAATTATACAACACTAAATATTCTTGCATTATATCTTGGAACTCTGTAATTCTAACTTGATTTCACTGTATTTCTTTAATTTCCTTGAAGGTGTGATGCACAGAACTAAAGGCTCCTTCTTCCTTTTGAACTACCACATAACCTCTATAAATTCATCGTGTGTAAATATTTCTGTGGGGATCACTGAATTTCCTTGGGTCATACTGTTCTCTGTGACAACTGTGTTTAGCAACTCACTATTGTTTAGGGAGCAGTAGGGTGTCATCAAATAATTTTGTCCTGGGAGTGTCTGAACTTCCATTGATCATCCAAGTAACCCTGTGCAAGTCACTTCTCCTTCCTGGAACTGAGTTTCCTCAAACTAATCTTGAACTTTAAGTTTTGACAACTTATTCATTTGGGTAAAAGTACTGATTCATATTTATGGTCAAGGAAAATATTTTGACATTAACCAAGGAAAACATTTATCTGTGTACTTTATGTAGATATTGATCACACAGGAAAATCATAGTGTCTGTAAGAAAAATTCTAGACAAGAAGTCTATAGTTTGTTGGCAACAAAAGGGCAAAAGGTAAGGCAACACTGAGGAACTTGCATTTAAATTGTTCAGGTTTAATCTCACTTCATTACTTTTTAATGGAAACTTCTCTACCGTATCATTTCTGCAGCTAGGCAGGATAATTTTAAATACATGAACAAAGTTTAAAAAAAACAGGAAATGTAGAAAATATGTAAGACCATATTTGTATGAGTTTTATTTTTTTAGCAGTCCTATGCTATACGTGTGTTACACAAATGCTATTATATTTAGTTTCAAATGATGTTCAAGACCATGATGGGAAGAACAGGTGCCTACTTTCATATATTCTCAAACTTCGTTCTGCTGTGATGCTGGAACTCAAGAGTCTGGTGCAACATGGTCTTCTGGGTGAGTGCAGAGACCTACCACGAAGATGCAGGGAGTGCAAGAAGGTGCTGAGAGGCAATGGTGCTAGCACAATTGTGTTTTACACTGGATGACCCACCATTCATCTATCCCATAGGATTTTTCCCAGTTAGTATTTTCAGCTAGGAATCAGAATAGTGAGCTTGACTTCTCTCCTCTAATCCCTCTCACCAGCCCTCAAGATACGGAAAGGGGTTATAGACTGCTCATCATTTTAGATAAATTTCAGTCTCTGCTGAGAGATTTAGAATGTTGGTTTGGAAAAACTTTTTTTTTTTAAAGATTTTATTTTATTTATTCATGAGAGACAGAGAGAGAGAGAGAGGGAAGCAGAGGGAGAAGCAGGCTCCCAAGGAGCAGGGAACCCGATGTGGGACTCGATCCCAGGACCCTGGGATCATGACCTGAGCTGAAGGCAGACGCTTAACCATCTGAGCCACCCAGGCGCCCTATTTGGAAAAACTCTTAAACGTGATCTGACCCAGACTATGATTTTCTTGGGGAGTTCCCTGAGGCTCATTCAACTCAACAAACCCTGTGCAGGCACACAGGTCCACAGGTCGTGGTGTGACAGCATACGACACAAATCAGGCTTCTTTCTGCCTAAACACACCCAAGTGCCTTTCCGCATTCTCCAGGGCAGAGATTTAGTGTTATGCTTAAAAACAGATATACTAAACAACTCAGCAGGTAGCTTCTGGAAAAGCAATGCTTCACAATCAGCTTGGGGTTGCTGAAATAATTTGATCCCTCCAGGAGGTTGGGAGGTTAGATGGATGGAAACATTTTTTTCCTGTTGTCAAAACTCAGAAAACCAGGGAACTGCACATTTGAATATGCTGTGGCTTATCTTTTCCCCTCAAACGATGGTAGGCTTCTTGGGGTTATCATGGCTCCTTCCGCTGTATCATTTGGTATAAGGATTTTTAAAGTTTAGCCCGAGCCACACTGTGGGACTTGGCAGAACTGAGGGAAATCCAATATGCCATTTACAAACACTTCCCATGGCTGGTTTAATCAACTGAAAATCCCACTACAGGGGCAACTTACCTATTAGTTAATCTTCTTGCTGACTCTCTGTTGGGTCATTTACACTGTCAACCTGACTATTCATTTCAACTGTAACCAGAAAGGAAAACAAAAAAGGTTAAATCTTTATTAAACCCAAATCTCTTGAACACATTAAAATGGTCTGTGAGTTGTTACATTCCTGATCTCCTATCTTATACCTCTTTTCAGTTCATTTGTATTCATTCAAGATTTGGGGAATAATTCTTGTAGATTTTTACTGGCAGGGGCCAGGGAGGGCAGAATTGCCTCTTAAAGAACCGTGGAAGCTGAGTTGTCATTTTATACCAGATTTTTGGGTTGACATTTTGGGTGTATTTATTACCATCCTGAGGAAAATCCAAAGGCCTTAGTAGATGTCTAAGAAAAGAAAAAGAAAACAAAGCAAAACAGATCATTGCCATGTAGAGAGGTAAACAGCTCTCTCTGAAATGGCAATGTCAGTAGGCCTGTTTGGTTTGCTAGGTTTTCAAGTCTGAATTTCAAAATAGACTCTGTAAACTTGCCAGTGGGTGCATGCAGCAGCAGTGGATGCCCTGCAATAGAAAAGCAAAACATCCCACCAGATCACACAGCAATGATAAAAACATGTGCTTTTACTTTAACTGTGTGTATTGTTCTATGCGAGCATTTGCGTAAAAATAGAATGCATAATTAATGCCATTGTCCAGAAGTATTCCAGAGCAGGCATGGCAGTCACTCTGGAAATTTTCAAGGGTCAGTAGGTTCAATTAGATGGATATTTTTAAAGCATCAAAGCCCATATTATAAACGGAGAGACAATATACAAAGGGAACAATGGTCAGACCATATATAACAATATAACTGACAAAAAACCTCTGCAGCAACTAGCCTGGGCACCCCAACCACAGCCTCTGTAGCAATCAGCTTAGGATGATCAGGACTTGGGCAGTGACTGCCAGCTTCACTCTAGTTTGCCCTGTGATTCCAATGCAGGACCAGAGAAAGCCAAATATGTTCCCAAACCAGTCACCCACTTCAAGTTTGCCCAAATCCAGCTTCCCCATGCCAACCAACAACCTCCAGTCAGAGGATGCTTGAAGTCTTTTCTTAACTATAAAGGTTTCCCACTTCCTGCCTACCTTTGAGCCCACAACACAAGTGATAATGGCTGACACCCTGGCTATTGTACCTGAATAAATAACCTCTGTTTGTTCTTGTTTGGGTGTTCTTCATTTATTTGCACAAAATCAACAGTCCAAAGCTCTTTTTCTCAAACAGGAAAATTCGATTAAAGTAAAATAGTGGCAGATGCTGGTTTTCACACTCCAAAGAGGCTTGAAAGAGGGAATGACATTGAAGGGCAAACCACCCAACTCTTTCCCAAGGAGGAAGGTTTTAAAAGCAGGTCTCTGCAAATAATAGCAGAGAACTTCCCTAATTTGGGGAAGGAAACAGGCATCAAAATCCAGGAGGCATAGAGAACCCCTCTCAAAATCAATAAAAATAGGTCAACACCC